ACATCGAGCATTTACATCCACTTCGTTTCTTCGTCTTCGCCTTGCATGGCAGATGGAAAATGTACTAAAAATTTTTCTAAAGATTTCACTAATGATACTATAACAAATACCGACGGATATCCAATATATCGTCGAAGAAATCCCGATAATGGGGGACAATGGCGGGTGGTGCCGTATTCGCCTCTGCTAAGCAAGACATACAATGCTCATATAAATGTTGAGTTTTGCAGTTCTGTGAAGAGCATCAAATATATAAGTATGTCCATAAAGGCAGTGATATGGCTGTGTTTAGAGTAGAAAATACTAATGTAAATGCTCCTCCAATGAACAAAAACGGTGAAATTACGCTCTACCAAATTGGTCGGTACATCAGCTCCAATGAAGCTGCTTGGCGTATCTTCGGTTTTCTAATTCATGAACGGGATCCAGCAGCTGTTCAGTTAGCCGTCCATCTTGAAAACGGTCAGCGTGTATTTTTCACGAACGAGACAGTGATTGATCGTGGTACAAATCCACCTAAATCTACACTCACTGCATTTTTTGAATTGTGTAATAGTACGGATGATTTTGGTGCCTTTGCAAGAACATTACTCTATTCACAAGTACCACGCTATTTCACATGGGCTCAAACAAAAAAATGGATGCCCCGCAAGCAAGTTTCACCAGTTGATGCATGTCTCAATTTATTTAAATCGAACGCTTATTTACAGTTAATCCAAGACACACTGAGTGCTTTTATCTTCGACTGTTGTTGGTTAATGTTACTGGCCCATTATCATTATTATTATTTACAGTCAATCCAAGACAATTTAAATTTGAAGATACAACAGTTGTTGCCAGGGAACTTGGTATCATACAAATCTATTGATTTTAAATTAATAATTTAATAAATAAACTATAATAACTTAAAAATAATATTGTTTGGCGTTTGTTATTTTTATTTTCCTTTTCGTTCATAGCGCTCCATGCCTATTTCATGCATATACCACATACTTACACACTTATAATAAGTAAGTTACTTTTTGTCTACACTAGAATTTATCTAGAAACTAGAAATAATTTATAAGGCAAAACAACGTTTGTCGGGTTATCTAGTATATATATATATATATATATATATATATATATATTGTTGTGTCAATAAAAAGTATTATAGAGCCTACTCTACAGAGTTTTATTGCCTCTTCCGCAAGAATATACATTACCAGTTGCATATTCCACATATGCATCAGCGCAGGGCATTTTAACAGCACATGTGTGGCTGACTCCTCATTCTCTTCACAAAATCTACAGTTTTCATCCGTATGTATATCCAGTCTCGTAAGATGGTATTTTAGTTTACAGTGAGGATTGCCGTGATGATTTTAAGTTTTTCTTTTAATAGGTTCATACAATCCTGGTATCTTTCACTGTTATAGGTGCCAATAAGCGATTTTGATTGTGTTGATCATAGTATATTATCCCAGTAAGCCTTTTAATTCCGATTCTTCTTTATTTTTATGAGAGAAAGAAGCTTACTGTGTCCTAGCCCACAAAAAAGATTCCGGCCCCATCATCGGTGTTTCTGCACCTTCTCTGGGTAATGTGTTTGCGTATTTGTTTCCGTTAACATGCTTTATCAAATATAGTTTTGTCAGCTGGTGATCCAGGTTGTTGATACCTAAGGTAGGAAAACTAGGATATCGAACAGAAAGAATTAGGTAATAGGGAAGAGAAAAATAATAAGTAAATATTCAGAGTTTGTTTATAAAGTAACATAACTTAGAAATCTTGCTATCTTTTGCATTGAGTGGTTTTGTGTCAACTAGTTTTAATACACAAACTTCAATAGTTTTAGTAGAATTTGTTTATTTTTATTCTTGCACATATGTTATCAGTTGAATTTGTGATAGTTACTATAGCCAGAGGAGTATAATCAGTCAAGCAGAGTAAATGCTTCAGGAGAGAACTCTTCAATTCTAGGTCATAGCTTCATTATTACTTCATTATCGTGCTTTTTACGAGCACAAAAAATTTCTACAAAGTGTATGAGAATTGAAAATGTTTTATATGTAATAAACATGTGTTAAATTCACCAATTCACTAATTATAATTATAGTACTCATGGACTTATATATGAATTTTGTCTATAAAGAAAAATTCTTGCAATTTTATGGTGTGTAAGTTTAATATAAAGGGAATTTGGAACTCGTTTATGCGGTTGTCTGTTAAGAATAAACATAGTGGCTGTTGATAAGTAATATATTTATGTACTGAATAGTTTATGTAGGCAGTTTGGACTTATTATAATTCATCAAGTTGTATAATCATTTTTATTCTGGTGCTCCTCTATTTTTAAGAGAGAAAGGGGCGTACTATGTACTAGTCTACAAAAAAAAAAAGAATATAAAGTATTGTAATATAGTATTGTAGCATAGTATAAACGAAAAATTATGTACTATGTACTGTCAGTAATTTTAATGTAAACAGCACAATACTCGCGTATACTCGTATAATAAAATTAATATTTACTTAGTTGAATATTATGTATTTATTAACATGAAAACAACACTTCGCATTTAAAATATAAATTTTAACTATTTTATGAGTCACTACATAAATCAACAACTTTTAAGATGAAACGTGCGTTAAATAAATTATGGCTTCAAGCTTTGCAATACGTCTAGATTTACTTATAAGTATGGATACATTTAACTACAGCACGTCAAAGAGCAGTGGGATATGTAATGAAAATTTTCTTTCAAAAAAATAAGTGTGATATATAATGTTTTTTTTTTAAATTGGGTGTTTTCTACTTAAAACAGAATCCATTTCATAACTTATAATTCTTTTTTTAAGTTGATCATTATTAAAATTATTAAAATTTAAAAAAGATCAGTTACGTGTATATAAACATCTAACAAAAGCTTAATAAATATTTTTACGATCCAAAAAATGAACAAAAGTGACATGTATAAAGGTTATCTATTATATATGTTGTAGTGTTGTATATTACTCGTATACACTCTTCACACGGTGCGAATAAATGTTAGATAACAACTTAACGCTCTTAAGTTTTTGTTGTTGTTCATGTGTTTGTTGTGTTCAATCTCACAACCTTCTTAAACGAGTGAACATAAAAAAGAAATATAAAATTTTTTGAATGAAACATAAGAGGCTTTCGTTGCCCGTCTCGGCAGTCTCTAAGAGAGTTAGACACAAACGAACGCATTATTGCATATACTTCCTATTTAGTTACCTCTCGCTATTCTCATGTTTCACTTAATTTTCTGGTTGCAGCTGATTGCAACTCTAAGACCTAATATGAAATGTGACTGCATACTTTAGACTACATCCATAAGTATCTTAAGTTAGTAGCACGGTTGCCACTTAAAAATTTTTTTCTGTACCAAAATTGGTTCAAAAAGACACCATTTTTGTAAAAAAATGTCCAATTTTTTTCTATTGCCTTTTAATAAAAAAATACAATATATAAAAAATGTACAGAAGATATAGAACAGTACAAGTCTTTTTATCCATAACCATATTCTTACTTAAATAATCGGACTATCTTTTGCTCACCATACATAGTGCATAGACTTTTTATAAAATATTTATTTACATAATATGATTAAGGTCTTAAAATCCATTCTGATCGAAATTTTCTTTTACCTTTTGCAGGCTCGATATTTCTATTAAATCAATATTTATTATTATATTAGTTTCATAGTGCACGGTTGCAACAATAAATAAATTTTATTGAATAACATAATAATATGTACACTAAAGTTGACACTTCAAAAAAGTACCATTTCCTAAAAACGATTACTAGAGTACCATACGAAAAAAAAAATTACCAATTTTGATACTAAAGCACCATATGTGGCAACCGTGGTAAGTAGTGTAAGGCGCATATAACGGTAAGAAGCTTAGCAAAACTCTTACATTTTTAATGAAAAATTTTTGTTTTTTCCCTTAATGCTCCATTCTTCTATATTATTATGAATCATAATATTAATAAGTTCATATAATAAGCTCAAAAATGATTCATATCATTAAACTCTTAGGAACCACCAGTTCCACCTGGTTCACAACTGCGATGAGGTATCTGTCTACAGTATAACAAAGCTGGAGCAACTGATATATTAGCTAATAGGTTAGCACAGTCTATAGTACCATCTCTATAAAGATAGATCTGATAAAGTTATTTGACAACTCTATCATGGGCTTTGGGACTTTTCAGGTTTGATATGGCCTACGAAAAAATACTACGATAGACGCGTATATCCTCATCTGATTACAAAAAATATTAAACAGTACATTTTGTCAATTATTTAAAGGGCTGAATATCTTTTATTTAGTTAGAGTTTATACCAGTAATAAAGATCAAACACGATTACAGTGCTTCAATCACACTATCCGTTAAATTTAATTCTATTTTATTTGATCTGTTTTGCATTCTACTAGTGTATAACATTTTTAAAAGCTTTCTACATATTTTGTTCCACTGTCTTTTATTTGGTTATTTACTTATAATGGGTGTAGCATAACCAAAAACTTAATGAGCATTTTTATTGTTTAGTTTAAAATCTTGTGGTTTTTGTTGTTAATGTATTAACATTTTTGTTTGTTTTAATTTAACTTTTTTACGAATCTTTTTAAATAAATTTAAAAATGAAATTTTTCACTTTCATTTGTTTAGTAAATTAAAATTAAATTATAACAATTTATAATTCAAGGTTAAAATTACGTATTTTATAGGTCAATTTTTGTTATTTACACTTACATTTTTTGATTTTTGGAAGCTATTCATAGTTTATATATATACAATATTACATACACTTGTATATGTATATATCTAAACTAAATAAATTATACAAATAGTTTTTTACACATTTTAAAATCACTCTTTTTGTAATAAATTTCAAGTACTGCAAGAATTACAAAATCATTTATATGAGACGAAAAATATATACGCACAATTTGTCATATATTTACAACATATTTAGTAATAAATTATTAAACAAAAGCACAATTAAAAAACTCTTAGATAAATGAGCTATTATATACAATATATACTACATTAGAAGAAGTATTCGTAATGCGAGTATTTGAAAATCATAAAGATTCTACGCCAAATATTTTAGTTCTAGATGAGAACTGCAATAAATACATATACTATTATAAAAATAAAAAAATTATTATATTGTGAACCAAATACACCGCATTCTGGTGTCAAAAATGATCAAATTCGTAAAGTTTTATATATAAATTTAGGAATAATAATCTTAACTTAATGAATTGCTTTAAACCTTAATTATCTTTTATGTATGCATCGAAAGGTACCACGGTCAGTGCTTCGTTTAGGACTTGAAGCAACATTGGTGCCCAGTAATTTCGTGTCTCCGGCAGCATAATACGCATAATCTGACGCCAATACTGATTAATTACGTTTACAACCAATTCATCTAAAATATAAAACAAAAAGTGTTAATTAGTTATCTAAAACATTACTCAAATTATATAAAAATTAGTTCAAATATAACGCTTGTTATATTACCAAAAACAAGTAAAAACTGAATAGGGGGATTTTATAGTTCGTATATATGTTACATATAATATTACCGATAAATGCTTATTCAGCAGCAAAGCCATGTACTTGTTATCTTCTAATCATAGCAAAACTAAAAAACTTATTAGATATTTTTCAATTACCGTATTTATAAAGTTATGCAAAATTGTTCCTAAGTCAAGACCTTGTCAATCGGTACAACATCACTATAGCTACGCTGTTAATTTAAACTCAATATTATCCTAAGCGAGAGTGTACTTTCTAAGTCAACTTCTAATTTCATTGATGGTTCGATGGTATATATCTACATTTTCAGATAAATGTCGATGGTATATCTATATAACCAATGGAAATATCACAGTACAAACACAAAATTATTAAAAAGGTGCTGTGCGCTCATAAAAGAGCCGAAATAATCTTTTGAAAAGCACTATTCTAACACCAATGAATTTTGCTGACGAGCTTAAATTGTACCCATTTTTCAACAACAAAAATTCAACATATCACATAATGATACAACTGAGCTTGACGTACCATCTCACTTCTAATACACTTCTAATAAAATCATAACCAACGTTATTTGCAATCAGACATAGTGTTCGCTCAGCATTGATGTAAGACACACTTTTATACTGCATATATATTTGCCGGTTCCTGTTTCAATTGACGACATTCAAATCTCTATTATGGATTTACCTCTAGCAAACCTACTTGAAGCGGGTAGGCTTCAATTAAAACAGTTTTTATTACCACTATGTACATCTTCCCCGATGATTCGAAACCCGATTACATATTTTCTAATGAATTAAGTCTTAGCGTCTTGTTTTGCGTCTTGTTTGTGTCTTGACTTCTTTCATATGAAAATCATGAAAATTTAATATGCCGTAAAATGAGTCTATAGTAACATAATTCCTGATATGACCATCACTATGGTCTCAGACAGCTAATTAAATCTGTAGTAAGTGCGAGAGCCATATCTTTAACATTTCGATAAAGCCAGTGTTCTCTTAACGAAATGGCTAAACTTAACAAAGTCCAACTAATAACGGTTCCCGGAAACAGAAATATCTTTAGTAGCTGCAGAAATGATGTGTTTGTGAAAGCAGTTTGTAATGCGTGATATCATAACAAGCTATAACTTAATAAAGGTTCCCGGAAACAGAAATATCTTTGGTAACTGCAGAAGTGATGTGTTTGAGAAAGCAGTTTGTAATGCGTGATATCATAACAAGCCATAACTTGAGCTCGAAAGTGATTTAGTGCATAAGTCCACCGCTCTCAGGTAAACCTAAACATACTAGCGGCCCAACCAATCTCTTCGAAAAAACTTCGACTCTAAAAACAAAGTACACAACACGCAATTTCAAAATTGTCATTATGTCTTAATCACACTTTGTATCATCTCCGGTTATAGGACCATCTAAATTCAATTAATTAATCTTTAATGACAAAATATTGTCTTCGTTCAGAAGATGATAATATGTTTCATCACATTCTATGTGATTTTACTGCTCTGTTTCACTCTTTTGTTCATAGGTACAACATATATATTTATTTTTAACCTGTGGAATTCATCAGGTGTGGTCTAATGTATAACTTAATCCATCAGCAATTCAGTGTGTCCACGTCAAAATACCACAACTGATCTTATTTCTTCTGTTCTCTCTCATTTTCTGATATTTAGATAATGATTACATAATGTTTTAATGCAGTGATTAGGTGACCATGTACTTTTGATAATAACTCAAAACATTTGTAACCTCTGCCTTTGTCCTATCTCTGTACCGGCTTAAATTTTGTTATCTATAAGGTACTATAAAACAGTACATACCAGTAACTTCCAGTAACAGTTGGAAGCATTCCAAAAATTTATCACATTTAATTAAAAAATATAGTCAAATACACAGATAATATCCGCTGTAGGTGTATATCTGAAAACTTAAAAAATTGTCAGAAAAGCAGTGTAGTTCAAAATTTGTACACATGTTTTTTAAGTTGGGTGCAAGGGTTTTAAAATATCTCTTATGTATGAAGAAAATATTCAAGGATCACAATTATTCCTTATCTTTCATTTTCGTTTAAGCATCACACCACTACAGCTTTATGTTAGCAAAGCTATAGTATTTATTTATTATTATATTTATTATTATTATTTATTATTTATTATTATATGTGCATTATACATTGTGTGTAATTATATATATTATATATAATTATACCCTATTTTATATAATAATTATCTATATATAATAGTAATATGAATACTAAACTATATGTGTCTCTACTTACTTAATGTTGGTTCTGGGAAAATCCCAGAAGCTTGAAATTTCATATCGTTAATTTTGGGATCAGCCTCAAATTTTGTAAGTCGCACAAAACGATGATTGTCTTTCTCATAGAAGACACCCTCAGCATTTTGATTGATAGTGACATTAGCTAAAAGTAAATAAAACACAAATACTTAGCCAACTTTATACTGTACTCCTAAGTACACAACTTCACTTACAGAGCGTCACATTGAAACTACCCCGTGGTCTGATGCGTACATTATTAAAAGCAAGATCAGCTTTATAATTTCCGATTATGCTGATTCTAGGTACATGAGATACCAAATGCACTTTAGTCTTACCATCGCGTATTTTCAAATCAAAACTCTTCTGTCGAATTGTGGAGAAACCGAAAACTTTCGCATTACGCATGGTTATTCGTCCACTAACTGCACCCGAGGTATATTGAAATGTTGTACGATTCAAAGCAAACGGATCGATTGGCGGTATGTTTAATTCCTTATTGCCGTCTTTGAGACGCGGTATCATTATGTGAAACAATTCCATTACACATTCATTCAGGTTAGCGTTACTTTGTTGGCAGACTGGTACATCGTCCGCTGTAAATTAATGGAATTTTTTTTATATATTTTGTTTTTATTAATGAGCAAGCAATCAACTTAAATCATTCAATTTGCTATAGAACAATTTACATTCATTATGGCAAATTATATACTCTAACTTAAATTGACTTTTGTTGAACTCAGCCTCTATTAATACCACTTATAAAATAATTAATATGTGCAATGTATTTGTGATATATGATATATTTTCAGTGTTTATTGTAATCACTTACTTATTGCTACATGCATTATTCATTTTATTTTCCATTAAATTAGATTTTCAACTACGATAACTGACAATAAATAAGCTCAACTCATTAATACGAAAGACTTAGACAACAAACTTGTAATGCGTTCTAATGCTCTTGTTCCATATTAATTCATAAGCAAACAACTTTAATATTAAAAATGATTTCATACACATTTACGAATGATTATACACTGCCAAAAACTAACTAAACTTTATACCATATTTTCAACAGATATGGTGGATCTTAATCATTCCTTTATATTACATATGAACTAAGTAACGCGATGGAGAAATCAAGAATACAGATATATTATTACAAAAAAGGTGATGTAGAATCTATACTGAACCAACTTAAACTAAAACATCATGTATAACCCTTTTTCACTCCTTCAACAAACCCTTTCTGCAGCATTACTCCATACAACACTGTTCAACCGGTGAATTCTAAATTGCCTTCTCCTATATTGATTTTGATCTAATTAATCTCCAATAAATAAAACAACAAGCGTTCCCCTATACCACATTTTTAACATATCTTCGCACTGCTGAACTCTCGCCTTTTTGACCGCCCATTAGATTTTGTACTACAAAACGTGTACAAATCTTTTGATTACCGAAATCTTCAGTCAGAAAATGGCTGAGTCTTATTGTGCGAGCTGCATGTATAGAAATAATCAAATATAAAGGAAATAAATGAATATAATTTTTTGAGCTGTTTTGGTATTCGATCTAGATGTCACTATTAATTTGAGTAACAATAAAAATTGTGGTAAAAAATATAATTACGGAAAGAAGGATTGAGCGCAAAAACTTTGTAGAAAGGGCAGTATTTCAAAGGATACTTCTAGTAAACTAAATGATGATGTAGATGTCAATAATAACTTTTAAGAATAATATGACGTGGAAAGAATTCGAACAATATTCAAAACCCGTGCAGAGCTCTTACGTCTGTGCTACATTCTGTACGAGATCCAAAACACGCTGTGCAACATATCCACCCTTTGAGTGAAAGGCAATGTTTAACAGACAAGTACTCCATTTTTAAAAAATATCTTATTAATTATCGCTTATTTTTAGAATGCATTAAGTACAGGGAAAATATAATTAATAAAATTTTTTTAATTATTTTAAAAGAAATTTCTTAAATCATTTTAATTATACCATATATTAAATCAGTGATATATCATTAAATTTTGAAAGACCGAAAAGAGCTTTCATTCTTGCAAAAGACCGCTGCCAGAATACGAATGATCTTTCAAACGATCTTTCGTAAGATTTTTGAGTGTAGTGAGTTGAAAAATCGTTGTCAAAATTACCCTGTAAGTGTGCTATGATAACTGAAAATCAGTGATTAGGTCGAATTGATACTTGATTCTCTAAAGTATATATGTTAAGTTGTAATTGTAATCTCTAAATATGAATACTTCATTAAAATTGTTTTTAATTATTTAAAATTATTTAAATTACGTCAAATTAATTAATAATTATTAAGAATTATTTGAGAATTATTATTCTCAAAAATATCATGCAGCTTATGAAGCATGTAATAGTTTCAAGTTTTCTAAACGAGACTAAAGCCAAGATTTGCAGATATCTGACATCATTGCTTGTCATTTTCATATGTAGAGGAATTTTATTTAATCCACACCACTCTTTGCTTATTATTTCTCACTGATCACATTGCTGCAGTGCTTTTACAGAATTCTAAACCACTTCACCTTGGACGACCATGACCTGATTTTAGTATACATGTTGGGCTGTTAGCCATGAACTCGTTGATCAATTAAATAATCGACATCTTAATAGGTCTTGCCGTTCGATTGTAGTTTTTGCATGGTTTAACCTTTATTGGTTGACAAATTTCAAGACTGAAGAAAAAGTATATACAGTGCTTTTTACAGTGCTCTTACACAAATTAAAATTAATGTTACCAAAATACAAGAATTTTAAGAAGTGAGTTTATTTAAAAAGCGTAAAGTACACTTTGAACCAATCAGAGATTTTTGGATGATAGTTTAAGATAACTACAATAGTTTTTTGGTCAAAAAACAAATTTTCTGAATTTTTTTATATAAAATGAAAGTAGCAATTAATAATAAGTATGATAATTTTTTATTCCTATTTCACTAAATATGTATCTACCTAAATTTCTATTGGTCAAGATTTTCCCCTGGAAAACTTCTGCCTGTGACCACTATTTTATTTAGTATTAACGCTAGAGTAACATCTTTCAATCTAATGACATGAACAAGTACCAGGGGAAATGTATTCGCTAACCTATGTTAACATTGCAACAAATCAAATAAATCAAATAAATTTATTTAATTATTATTTAAATTAAATTATTTAAATTTAAATTAATTTATTTCAAATCACATCAGCTTCGCTCCTTTGTTCTCCACTTTTGTTGAAGAAATTCTAATAACTACAAGAAAGGTATTGAAGACACTAAAGAAATAAAACAAAATATCGAAACCGAGAACTGTTCTCATTAAACCGGAGTCGTATGAGTTCGAATAGTCGAATATTAATTTCAAACTTATATGTTATTACAAATCGCTTCCATCGGCGTGGCGCATGATTTTAAAATTCATTAAAACATTATCTGAAAATTGGACGGTTATGTCTTTCTATGTATACCATATTCTGAAATAAGAAACTTACATTTTTACTAAATCCAATTCAAGGTTTTTAAAGAGTATTATTTTAAAGAACCTTTTGACTATTGATTTGGTACATATGTTCCAAGTAATTTTCGTAAGATCATAATAACTTGTGAGGTTATGCAACCATATTTTAATGAAGCTTAATGACAATATTAGACACGTAACTCCTATCACTTCACAAATATGGCATCTATAACTGACTTTCTGAAGGTAATAATCTTGCATCCATTGCTGACTTATACAAAAGGAGCTTCAAATTTATATTAAAATGGTGCAATTTAAATTTTGCAGAAAGCAAGAGAGAGATATTGAGTTCGCAGATTTCTATATAATAGTTTAACTTTATATATTTCAATCTCGATTAATTTTTTGTGAAAAAATAATTACTTTGACAAATATTACAAATTTTCGAAATTTTGAAATTCGCGGTTGTGAAAAATAAGGTAAGAAACATGTTATTAGATTTCGAAGAAGATAAAGGGTTGTGTTATTACGAACCTGTTAAGTATTTAGTACTTCTTTCGGTGGATGCAGGACTTATTTCAGAACTCAGCGAAATTGCATCCGATGTGGGTGCAGTTGTCGTTGAACTTGTTATAGTTGTTGAAATGGTAGGTGGTGAGATAGATGCCATTGTTACAGTTGTTGGAGTGGTTGTTGCAACTTTTGTTGACGTTTCTGTTGTTGCTGCCTCTGTTGTTTGTGTTGCTGTTGTTGATGTTGCTGTGGTTGTTGTTGTTGTAGATGTTGTTATTGGAGAACTGTTGGTAGTGCTTGTTGTAGTTATTGTTGCTGTTGTGTTAAAGTTTTGCACCTCGACGACATCTGCCAGTGTAGTAAGTGTAGTTGCAGCATCTTCAGATGCAACGAAAGCTCCATTGAAGGTGAGCAGCAATAAAGCACTTAAACAGAACAAGTTCAAAGCTTTTATATTCATGTTTTTTTTTTGTTTTAAAAATTGGAATTTTTTTTTAAACTATTTAAAATTTAGGATTTAAACTTTTCAATACACAATTTTATATTTTTAAAATAAAAAGAACTAAGCTAATTAGCTTAATTATGAGTATATCTGTTATCTTTTATATTGCACTGTTCATAATATTATTATGTTTTTTTTTTTCTCTGGAACCGCGCACTGCACAGGCAACGCTGTTGCACCAAATTCCGCTAAGTTTCTGTTTGCGAACAATTTCGAGCGGCCAGTTTTATTGCAAGCCAAATCTTCCATGCAACTGACCCAAACACATTCTTATCGAAGCGAAATATCGTAACTTTGCTTTTGTGAAAATATAAATTCAATCCAATAAAGTTTTTATTTATTTATCAAAAAAGCTGCAATCTGAGAGACATTAGTAAGATACATTCGGTTTTCGTCTTTCGATCTGTTATGAGGCAGGGTGAGGGTTTCGCAAAACTATGAAAGAGTATAAGTTAATAACTAAAACCGGCTTAATGTATTTAAATGTATAAATAATTTAACTTGTTTTAAACAAACACTGAAGAAAATATAATAGTGTAAAATAGTTTTTGTTTTAGCTTTTATATTATATATTAATGTAACGCACTATGCACAGGTGGCCCCTTTGCCCTATTAACGTAATTGGTCTATCTATTTCATGTTTGTTTAAGTATTTAATCCAAAATAATAATTATATTTATCTGGTTATTTTTTTTTTTTGTAATTTAAGAGCATAATTAACAAAAGTATATTTTTATGATATATTTATATGCACATATGTAGCTACTATTAATTAAAAACAACACAAATTCATTGTGCTCTTATTTTGTAGATACAAATATATGTAAAAATAATTGTAATAAAAAAAGTATATATTAAATATTCTAAGTATAAAGTTTATAACTGTACGTTTGATCCCCAAACTATATGGACTTACAAATTAAGGCTTGCTCGTAACTGTATTTTTATAAAGGCGTTTGTGAAACTAAGTCAATATAATATAAAGTCTTATCACTTATCTATCATAGCTTAGTTATAATTGAACTAGATGAGAAAAGAGAATAGTATTGAAATTTAACAATTAACAATTGAATTAAAAATATAATTCAATTATTCTACGTCTGGTTTATGATTTCATTTGTTAATAAAACTTTCAGAGCAAATCAACAAAACTCCAGAAAAATGTGCGAACATAAAAGTCAAGTACGGCTTTGGATTAGTTGGTCAAGCAGCGCTAACTCTGAGCTTCAAATTTGTCAGCGCACGAATTCGATTCCTGGGACTTGCTATCTCAAAAAAAAAAAAAATTATTTACGAATATTTAAATACAAGAATTATTTCTAAGATCACTGAAAGTAGGTATTTGGCAATACTTGAAACAGCTGTATGGTCAGCCAAAAATTCAATTAATTAAAATAATATAAAAAAGAATTTTTGTTGTTGTAGTTTACTACTTTTCGAAAACCTTTCTACTAAATGAGAAAAAAAATTGCAGAATCCAAATATAATTGGATACGTTAATTATACACAACAATAGCATATTCTCAGTTAACTCAGACAGATGGATGTGTGACTATTTATTCATCATTTTCCAATAGATATCCTTCAGTTTTTCTAATAATGGAGAATGGTGGATGGCTTATCACATTTTTTAAAAAAATTATAGTCATCAAAAATGCCAACCATAGGTTGTGTCTCTAATATACGAGAAAGCATAAAAAATCTGTACAAAGTTATATAAATATATTTTATTTCCCAGCACATTCTTGTTTCTGTTCAATATACCTCTATTTATACTTACTTTAATATTTTGAGAATTTTTTCAATCAATCATTCCAAATCATTGTGTTCTTCAGGGTTCTTATTTAAAGTATTTGTTGATTCTTTAAAATATATATTTCTGACACGACTGAATTTCTTTGAGTTTAAAAAACAAACAAATAAACACTTGAAACAAGCTTATAACATATAGTTTATGACAGAGAATTTTGACCTGTATTTATGAAATGTCTATATGTAAATCCATTCAATACTTTTATATAAATGTAAATTTCTTACTCACATATAGAAGTCATTATCAAGTTAAACAATATAGTCTATATCAGGTTTATTTCAAAAAAATTTTCCCATAATAGTTCCAGTCGTCTTGAAGGTCTAATAAACCGGTGAAAAAATTAAGCTAAGTCATTATCTCACTTGTCATTTCTACAGCATAATACTCCAAATTTTTAATGTAGTCTATACTTAGTTTTTGGCTGGAAATAATAATCAGAAGTTTAGACTGGTTTAATATTATATCTTATTTGTGCTCCAAGTAATCAGCATGTGATATTTTATAAAGTTTCTCACTTGACTGACTTTGATGTTGCGCAGGATTAAGAGCTTGAAAATGAACTCGCAAAATTTTCTAATAAATTATCTTGTTATCATTTTACAGTTATAGTAATGAATCAAAGACTTAATTCCAGAACCAAAGTAATTGGTTGAAATATATTTTAAATAATAATCAATATGAGTAAATGATGGAAAAACAAATGTCGAAAATATCTGTCTATATATCGACCATGCTGTGGCATAGGGAATAATTTTTCCAAATATAGCTGTTCCTTTGGCATAACTTTTGAGTCTTGATTAATTTTTCTTGCAATATATTTAATCTTATGGTAGGTAGATAGGCAGGTAGATAAATGGATAAGTTTAATAAGACCTACAGATCATTTTTTATAAGCTCAACAAATCATTTATATTTCTTAATAAAACTAATATATGAATTAAAGACACATATCTCATAACTAACAAGTTGCACTGACCAACTCTAGCACTTTGGCAATTTCAAAACTCAAAAAATAAACTATCTTTTATATCACTTTTCGACTCCTCCCACATAAAGTGTTGAATGTCTGGGAGATTTGCACATTTGGCTTGCAGAGCTAAATACAGATGACTTGTACTCAGTCTTATAGTGAAAAAGAGATCTTTTAATAGATATTATTAAGAAGTTAAGCTTTGAGATTAAAATGTTAAAGTAAATCCATTTAACACTAAGCTCGTTCATATGCATTAACTGCTCAACCACATGAAGTTCTTGCTATTCTATATATATTTTTTTATTTTTAAGCTCTCTTACAACCTTCTAACGGAAAGAGGCAAGAAAACTCTCATTGTTTTCAATCATATTATAATAGAATTATCGCAAAAATTGTGAAATAACCTTCATCATTCTCTTAGTACTTCCACAAAAAGAAACCTTAAGTTCGTAGTGTAAACGTGGGTAATATGAAATTTAAAATTTATTTCAAAATTGCTTTTTTGAGTTCCTCTTATTATAAAAGTGATATTAAATTTTTAAACACCTACTGAGTAAATAAGTACCCCCAATTCGTTTATAATTTAAAAAGTTCTTTATTTCGTTAAAAATAATTCTCTTTAAAATATTTATTTGATTTTTAAATATTAAATATTAAAAGTTAAAATGTTTCTGAAGCAATCCTTTGGAAGTACTTAAAAATTCGTTTATAGCTTAATGAATTTAAATTATAATTCATATTATTTCTTTTTTGTTACAAACATATCGAACGGAGTCTTGCTTAGTATGTCATTAGCAGTTTGTAACATGAAAGGTTCCCAAGTGCTACGAGTTTCTGGTAACATAGCCGTATAAATTGGGCGCCAGTATTGATTCACATAATCCAAAAGAAGTGTATCTAAAAGTTTAAAAAAAAATTAATTATTTTTATTAATACTATTATAAAGAGGTTCTTTCGAACAGTAGTGAACTATAACAACAAAAATTTTATTTTTTATATTATTTTAATTAATTGAATTTTTGGCTGACCATACAGCTGTTTCGAGTATTGCCAAATACCTATAATCAGTGGTCTTGGAAATAATTCTGGTATTTAATTATTCATAAATAATTATTTTTTGAGACTGCAAGTACCAAGATTCGAACTCGGGTCCTGCCACATGTGAAGCTCAGAATCAGCGCACCTTGACCAACTGATCCAAAGCCGTACTTGACTTTTTTGTTCGCATATTTTTTGGATTTTAGTTACTTTTGCTAATACTATTATTTTATTTTTAATTTATAAATAATTTATTATTAATAGTTTTACATGTTTTTTTTACATGTAAAACTATTAATAATAAATTATATATAAATTAAAAATAATAACAGTTTAGCAATAGTAAAACTCCATATATATATATGTATATATATTATATAATAATAATTTATATTTATATATATATATATATATATATATATACATGTACATACATGTACAGTTTTACATGTAAAACTATCAATAATAAATTATATATAAATTCAAGACTTCTTCAATAATTTTAATTCTTATACTACATATATCCTCTTCTCTACTTTATTGAAATTGGAAAGTTACTTACTTAAATTTGGATCTGGTACTAAACCGGTGGCATAAATGTGCATATCACCTACTTCAGGTTGACTATCGAAACTCGTCAAACGTAAATAGGTGTGACCATCCCGTTCATACAGTTCTCCAGATGGATGTGATTTAATGGTTATATCAGCTGCAGACGTTTGGAAAATAACAGTTAATATCAGAACATTTTGTTATGTTATTAGAGACTTACTCATTGATACATTGAACACACCCTTTGGTGTCATTTTTACATCATTAATTTTCATCTCTGCTTTATAAGTTCCCTCCACCGCCATATTTGGTACTTTCGCAATAAAATCAACATCCAACTTATCGCCATTCAAACGAAAGTCCACATTTTCAACTACAGCATTACTCATGCCATGTACACGTACATTTCTAACGGTGATACGCCCTTGAACAGCACCATTACTATACTGATAATTGGACTTTTCAATAACAAATGGGTCTAGGGGCGGAATGTTCAATTCCTTGATTCCGTTCTTGGTTAGTGGTACCATTTGTTGGAAAAGAGATTTCATACATTCGTTAATATTGGAATCTGTGGCACTACATTTTGGAAAATTGGCTGTAAAAAGTATAAAAATTAATGAATATGTATTTTACAATAAATTAATAACTATGGGCAATGTGAAATTAATAATTTTAGCAAAATGCAATAAGTTCTTTGCAAAAACTTGATGTTATAAATTGTGTAAATGATTTATTTAGATTATTGGCTCTGAGCTTATAAAGTACCTTATAGAAAGTTAAGCTTTCAATCGCAACAAATCAGATTGAAAGAGTAACTCACTTTATATTATAAAACTACTTCATCAAAACCAATATGTTAAAAACATTTTCTCTACCTTATTCTAATACTATCTAAAAACTTCATTTCTTAAAATAACTCACGCGCAATTTAGATACATTAGATACAACTTAGATATAGATCCACAAGTTTCATATAATTCACAACATATTCACAACAGTTGCATCTTATTCTCTATGTAAAGGTCATAGGTATTATTTATGCATACCAGTTGCCAGTTAAACGACCAATTCGTCTTTTTTTATATAATTATTTACGACTGATACAAATCAAAACGTTGACTAATATGACCTGTACGTGATGTTTAGAACATTTTTATGAATTTACAATCGGTTTAAGTGGAGGATTTTAACTGCTCTACCTACCTTGAAAAAGTTTATATAGTTAACACTATTATTTATGTATATAAAATATGTCTGTCCAGGTTAAAATGTGCTACATGCCACAAAAAGTTATAACAAAAAGCTCATATTACATATCATTAATAATAGCGTTGGAGATGAGTTTTTTCTTCGATCTTATCATTGCAATTTTCGTATTCTTACTTCTACTAATACATACAGCATTTATTTCGGATCTGCCCTGGTATACAACAAAGTGCGCTTAATTTCTTCCAAGTTTGGAAGAAATTGGATCCATATGAGTTAGATTTGGTCAAGGAAGTCACCTCAGAAAAATTAAGTGACTTAATTGCTAACTACTTCTCTGTTGAAATAGCCGTTCTGTGGTTTTCTTACTTACGTTTCAAGTTAAAACTAACTAAATTCTCTATAATATGAATTCTATATCTTTCGATATGAATTCAGATGTAAGTATATTGAGCCATGAGAGTTAAATACCTCAATTGATACTCGACCATCAGTTAGGATAATACTAATGGTTACATTGAAACATACAGTAGACACGCCTATTAATCATCTATTATTTAAAATATGTTAAGGAAAACATATATAAAAGAACTAACGTTAACAGCTATTTAAACTATTACATGAGCAATACCTAAACTTAAAGTATAAAAGTAACAAATGATATGATAATGATTAAAATATTTAATATTAAACTGTATGAGTCACTTAACAAACCACATGTGATCTAGTATTACACTTTCGAGACTAATGCAATCATAAAATGTATGTTTAACTAATCAGGATTTGCAACTACATAAGCTGGTAGTATCCAAAAGTTGTGGTATCTATATTTATGAGAAAACCACATTTTAATACATAACCATGACTTATATACACGTAGGCCATAACAACAATTCTAGTTTGCTTTCAGTTTCAAATTCAGTGACTTATAAAATTTTGATAAAAAACACTGGAAACAAGTTCTACTATCCCTTCATTTCTTATATTAGCATTTATTTTGTTCCATAACTAAACTTACTCACTAATTTAGCAGCAGACAATAAAGTAATACCAAATTCATTTTAAAGCCTTTCAAACCAGTAAAAATTTTCAAACGAATATTGAACTTTTAGATACAAAAGACAAATTACTTATTTTCCTAGCTACAGAACGAGATTCAATATTGAGTAATATGGGCGTAGCCAGGAAGCAGGGTAAGAGAAGGGCCTAATGAAAAATGTTTGTAATGTCAAACTAAAACACAGCTGATGGAAGCATTGATTGAAAAATTGTAATTCCATGGAAATAATATTTTTTTAAAATAATATTTTTTGTCAATCTATTTTTTTAACATAAATTATAAGCATATTTTGGCAAATGAACTTTTCAATCTGTTAAATATTACAATTTATCGCAATTTAGTTTATTATTGTCTACATAGAAGTTCTAAGACTCACAGTCCCTATAGTCTTTGAACATTTACAATTTTACCCAATACAGCCACAGCTAGGAAATTTTTATTTTTTTTTTTTATCTTAAAAGATATTTAGAACTATAATTTGAATTTAATTTATATATTTATAATTTATATTTTATATAGGTACCATCAAGATCTTCATGAATACAATTGTTTTTGATAAACATTTTTGTTTAAATATAATATAATAAATAAAAGCATACTATTATTACTACTACTACTACGCAGCTGTCTTCGCAGAATAACTCGTATCTTCTCGCCAAATACTATCACTAACGAGGAGCTATGGTCCAAAACAAATATGAGAGATATGAATATTGATATTCGGAGAAGAAAATTTCGATGGATTGGCCATACGCTATGCAAACCTCTAGAAAATATCGCGAATATGGCCCTACAATATAATCCCCAATGCAACAGGCGTAGAGGGCTACCTTCCTCTAGATAGAAGAGTTTAACTTTTAGTTGAAACTACAGCAATATCAACGCGATCAGATACATCGCATTGCAAAGAAGATAATGGAAACGAATTATAGTTAGCCTATGCCCAATATAAGAGGCAGCTCAAAATCAATTTATTATGAAGCGTTTAACACGAGACAATACTATCAGATTGTGGAAATTTACTCTGAAAATAAATAAATCTTTTCGCGAAGTTCTATGTGACTATGAATTTCACACGGCAAACATCAACATAGGATTCCGGCAGTTTAAAGATGTACCTTTCTTTAATTTATTTAATTAATTAATAACATATAAAAAACGAAGATAATCCTTAAGCCGTTAACGAATCACCATTACTTCCATTAACATTGATTGTTTGGTGCGGTTTACAAGCTGGCGGCGTCATCGGTCTTTATGAGGAAGGAGCTGCCGTTATGATGAATGGTGAGCGCTATGGAGCCATGCTGACTGAATTTTTGTTTCTAAAAATTATTCAGTAAACATCAATGACATCGACCATACAGCAATTTATAGAGAAAACAATTTGGTAACAACTTTATATGTAGAAATGATCCTATTAACTGGTCCCCTCATACTGGTCCGTACAATTTAACACCTCTCGATTACTTTTTATGGGGTAATTGGATTATGTTGTCATTGTCTTATGCTGACAAACCAACAACTCTTGAAGCATTGAAAGCCAATATTCATACTGCCATTGACGCCATACGGCCGCATTTATTGCAAAAAATAAACATAAATTGGACTTATAGAAATGCCACTATTGACGCCATGCGGCCGTGTTTATTACAAAAAATTATCAAAAATTGGGCTGATTAAAAATGATAGACACTCGTATCATTTTCAGTTCTATTGCAGCTAAAGAAACACCCGATACATGGAGGTGCCAACAAAAGTTCCAGCTGATAACCGACATTTTTCAATCGCATCCCAAAAGACCTATGCAAAAAAAAACAGATTATTGTAAATAAAATAAATCGGTTCAGTCAAAAGTATTTGTAGTTGTTATATATAAAAACTTTTGCTTACTTTAGAGCTGGTCTTTAGTTCACCTAAAATGTTTCTATAAAAAATGATAAAAATAATTCCTTAATAATAATTTAACATTTAAATGATATTTTCATCGTCTATAGGATACGCGAGGTTAGTAATTATTTTAATTTTACGTTTCTTTTCGATCTTCAATATTATTAAAGCTTTTTTTTATTCCATAATTAATAAAGTTAAATTAACTTTATAATTACTGCACTTAATTGTAAATGTGCATGATAATTTTTTTAACCTATTTATTCTCCCATTATTTTTTATAATTATAAATTTAATTGTTGCAAAATAATATATTGTTGATAAAGATCAAGACAAATAATTAGCTTTGACTTTGTTGAAACATAAACACCGTTCTCACTTAATTATAAAGAAAACATACAGTTTCAATCACTTAACTTAAAAACTGAAAACCAATTATATTCTGCTCAAAAAGTATACGGACGATTGAATCAGTAAAAGAGAATTTGCTGAAGGAACTAAAAGCCATACCTTCACGGGCCTACCAAAAGTGTATGGAAGATTGGATTAAGCGTTGGCAAATGTATATCGCTTCAGAAGAAGCATATTTTGAAAGAGATAAAATAAATTGGGAATAAAATTTAAATTTGTGTGTTTTATTTACAAAATCCGAGTACTTTTTGAGCAGAAGGTAAGTATACAAATAGTAACTAGATGAGATAAATAGCCAGATAAATATACCCATGTTTAAAAAAACGGAGAGGTCACATTGCACATGAACAGAGATATTGCCTGGATAAATATCCTGATAAACATACACATATTTGAATCAATTATTCTCGTTGAGTTAAGCAGGAATAAATGCACTTTAAAAATCGGATATAACTTTCTAACTATATGAAAATGTATGTATGTTTATGAACATTTTTCTGTGAGTAAGTTTTTTGACTTCTATGTATTCATTTACATATATACGAAACAACAGATAAAAAAAAGCTTGGTACATACGGTACATATTTGACCTTTGCCTGATATAGAAAATTACAAATTTTTGTCTCGATCTCAAATGAATACCATAAATTTAACTATATTCCTAACAACATATTATAAAAGAATTAATAATTCTTTCTATCACATACCGTTGCAACCCACCATAATTATCATCACGATTCCTTTTTTATACAGAAGTGATTACTGTAAAGCACGAACGTTTCGGATTGTTATTTTGGGCTTGGGTGTTAATCGAATGAAATGCCTAACAAATGGCTTCTTACTAAATCAACAGAAAAGGCCACATTAGTTTTTAGTTCTCATCTTACATATGAAAATATATTAGCTTCAATACTATAATATAAAATTATTTAACTAAAATAGTATGCTTGAGTGCTCACTGACAAAGAGTTTCATTTTCATTCGGTTATGGTTTTGTAGGTTTGCCACACATCGCAACAACAAATACGGTT